GGGAAATAGGGGAGGGACGGTGGGGGTGGGGAGTTGGGGAGAGATAGCAAGGGGAGAGATGCCAGATGTAGGTGATGGAGAGGAAGGCAGCAAATCACACTGCCACGTGTATACCTGTGCAACAATCTTGCATGTTCTTCACATGTACCCCAAAACCTAAAATGCAATAAAATAAATAAATTGGAAAAAAAAGAATATGCTTAAGCCAAAATATGTATAATCCCTGAAACATCTTTGTGTTAATAAGAAGTTATGTATTATTAACCTTCAAACACTGAGCTTCTTCTTAATTCTCCAGATTTTTTAAAAATCCTGGATTGCAGCTGGGCTCAGTGGCTCACGCCTGTAATCCCAGCACTTTGAGAGGCTGAGGGAGGCAGATCACGAGATCAACAGATCGAGACCATCCTGGTCAACATGGTGAAACCCTGTCTCTACTAAAAATACAAAAATTAGCTGGCCGTGGTGGCACATGCTTCTAGTTCCAGCTACTTGGGAGCCTGAGGCACAAGAATTGCTTGAACCCAGGAGGCAGAGGTTGCAGTGAGCTGAGATTGCACCAGTGTTGTGCAGTGCTATTCGGGGAGCATACTTGGCAGCAATCTGCCCAGAGCCTAGAGGGCAGCATCCTTGTTTGCAGGAGGGCAGCATCAGGGATTCCTCTTCTTCAAGAGGACTTAGAATGTCCATACTGCCGTTCAGGAGACGACTCACATCAGGCTGATATGGAAGCTCCCTGGCCTAAAGCCTATTCCACACAGGAACCAGCATCTCTTGCTACAGCTTATCTGATTCATTGCTGCCCCTTACCTGAGTCACCACAGTCAAGGAAGCCCAAAGTATGGCTCCCCTTCAGATACTTAGAACTTCTTTTTCTGAGACGGAGTCTTGCTCTGTCACCCAGGCTGGAGTGCAGTGGCATGATCTCCACTCACCACAACCTCCGCCTCCCAGGTTCAAGCATTCTCCTGCCTCAGCCTCCCGAGTATCTGGGACTACAGGTGCACGCCACTATGCCCAGCTAATTTTTGTATTTTTAGTAGAGACAGTGTTTCACTATATTGGCAAGCCTGGTCTCAAACTCCTGACCTTATAATCCGCCCACCTCAGCCTCCCAAACTTCTGGGATTACAGGCATGAGCCACCGCACCCGGCCCGGATACTTAGATCTTATTTATAGCTCCGTCAAGATGGTAATCAGTCTGTTACTGCATCCCAGACACCAAGTCCTTGGCTCTTGAGTTAACAGCAAGAGGCCAAACGCTTCTCAGGTAAGGTTTAATAGGCTTGAGATGGAGCAAAAGCAAGGGAGCAGTGCCCAGGAAAGGAAGAGGAATGTGTAACTCTACTTGCAGCAGTGTATAGAGCTGAAGCCACCTGTGATGCTTGTTTGAACTTTCTCGTTTGGCTGATAGGACTAGTTTGTAGTATGGGTTTTCTGTGCAGCAATAGAGCATGTAAAGTGCCCTTGTGGGATGGAAGATAGGTCTTTGTTGTGAACATCTGAAGAACAACTGCTGGGCAGGTATTACAATCCACAGGCACTGTGGTGATTCTGACCGAGACTTTCTCTCTAGCAGAGCCTAGGACAGAATTCCGGCCCAGTCTTCCCCGCCTGGTGGCCTTTTCTAGCTCGCAGCTCCTTAGACAATATGCGCTAAGTGGTCGTCCTACACGGATCTCCCCCAGCTCATCTGCAGGAAATGACTTCCAACTAGAAGCTCCAAGCTGCTCTAGTGAAAAAGGAGAAAGTGGGAAGACAGAAGTCCCCGACACCTCATTACGAAAGAGGCCAAGCAGAATTTCTAGGACATTCTTCAGCTCACATCAAGGTGACCCAGTAGAATGGGTGGAAGACAACAGAGAAGGAGGAATAGACCTTTGCCTGGCCCGGCGGATGAGTCCTGGGGGCTCAGACACAATGTTGAAGGGAGTAGGCACCTCAGAATCTGGAGCAGTCACACGTGGAAATTGTAGACTGGGACTTAGCAAAAAGTCAAGCCTGTTGAGCCACCAGAAGCATCATGTGTGCCCTGAATATGGGAGAGGCTTTTGCAAGAGATCAGACCTCATCAAGCACCAGAGGACGCACACCGGGGAGAAGCCGTACCTGTGTCCTGAGTACGGGCGTCGGTTTAGTCAGAAGGCCTCGCTCTCCATACACCAGAGGAAGCACTCAGGGGAGAAGCCATATGTGTGCAGGGAATGTGGGCGACACTTCAGGTATACATCCTCTCTGACTAATCACAAGAGGGTTCACCCCGGGGAGAGGCCCTTTGTATGTCAGGAGTGTGGGCGAGCCTTCCGCCAGAAGATAGCCCTCATTCTACACCAGAGGACACACTTGGAAGAGAAGCCCTTCGTGTGTCCCCAGTGTGGGGGAGGCTTTTGCCAGAAAGCATCACTCCTCCAGCACCAGGGCTCACAAACTGGTGAGAGGCCCTTCCTGTGCCTTGAGTGTGGGTGTGGCTTCAGGCAGCAGTCACTCCTCCTTAGTCATCAGGTCATACACTCAGGAGAGAAGCCTTATGTCTATGCTGAGTGTGGGCACAGCTTTGGCCAGAAGGTCACCCTCATCGGACACCAGAGGACACACACAGGGGAGAAGACCTACCTGTGCCCTGACTGTGGGTGTGACTTTGGTCAGAAGGTCACCCTTATCAGACATCAGAGGACACACACAGGGGAGAAGCCTTATCTGTGCTTGGAGTGTGGGCGTGCCTTTGGCTTTAAGTCACTCCTCACCCGACACCAGAGGACACACTCAGAGGAGGAGCTTTATGTAGACAGGATGTGTGGGCAAGGACTTAGCCAGAAGTCACACCTTATCTCTGACCAAAGGACACACTCAGGAGAGAAGCCCTGCGTTTGTGATGAGTGTGGGCGTGGCTTCGGCTTTAAATCTGCCCTCATCCGACATCAGCGGACCCATTCTGGGGAGAAGCCCTATGTCTGCAAGGAGTGTGGGCGTGGCTTTAGCCAGAAGTCTCACTTGCATAGACACAGGAGGACCAAGTCTGGCCATCAGCTCCTACCACAGTAGGTCTTCTGACCTTTCCTTTCCTCGTCAGTGTGAAACTGGCAGAAATCCTAGTAAATGCTTCAGTTTCCTGAAATGGAACAGAAACAAAAAATGTGGCTTTGTTTCATCAATCATAAGATAGTTGATTTTTGGTTTACTTTCTATATTCACAATTTGTCTTAGCTTGCTAGGGGTTCCATAACAAAGTACCCCAGGCTGGGTGACTTTACCAGCAGAAATGTATTTTCATATTTATAGGGGCTGGAAGTCCCAGATCCAGGTATTGGTAGGTTTGGTTGCTGCGAAAGCCTCTCTGCTTGGCTTGTGGATGGCTGCTCTCTGGCCATGTCCTCAGATGGCCTTTTTTCTGTGTGGATGCTTTTCTGGTGTGAGTTCCTCTTCTTGTAGGGATACCAGTCATTTTGAATAGGGCCATGGTCACATGCCTCATTTAACCTTAATAACCTTCTTCAAGGCCCCATCTCCAGATACAGTCACACTGCAGGGCTGAGACTTCAACAATTTTGGGGAAGCCAGATTTGGTCTATGACACTCCACTACCAAAGTTTAGGTCCGTTTAACATGCAAAATGCATTCACATGATCCCAACACTTCCAAAATTGTTTACCCAATTCAACCTCAACTCTGGATCCAAAATCTCATTTAAATATCATCTAAATCAAGCGTGAGTGAGACTTTAGGTACAGTTCATCCTTAAGCAAAATTCTCCAGCTGTGATCCTGTGAAACCAGACGGATTATCTGCTTCCAAAATATTATACAATGGTGGGATAAGCAGAGGCTGGGCTTCCCCATTCCAAAAGCAAGACATGAGAAAGAAATGAGGAATGATGGATCCCAAGCACGTCTCAAACCTGGCAAGGCAACATCCATTAGATTGTCAGTCTTGAGAATAATCTCCTTTGGCTCAATGCTCTGCCCTCTGGGCCAGCTGGATTCGCACCCCTGCTTTGTGGGCTCACGGGAGCTACAGCGTTGCTCCCTTAGCCCTGGGCAGCGGCTCCTGGCCCACTGAAATTGAGGAGGAGACACGCTTGCCCTCTAGACCCGTACGCTCTGGGCTCATTAGAACCTTTGAGAATCACATTCTTCCCTTTTCTTGAAGATTAACTTATGTTTGCCGCTGGATAGCTCTGCTGTACCTTCCTGTGGAATCCCAGTCCAACAGCCTGCCTTCATTTTGTCCTGTCTCTTTCTCTATTCAGTTCAAGCTGGGAGCGTTTCTGGTGAGATGGTTCATCGGTTCCATTCAGACCTGCACTAAACTCTTTATCATGTGATTGTGCAGCCACACCCTAGTGTTCTTTTGAGAACATACTTTCTCATTTTTTGCAATGTGAACAGGCTGAGAATTTTTCAAATCTTTAAGTACTAGTTCTTTTTTGCTTAAGCATTCCTTCCATTTATCTTTCTCCTCTCACATTTTCCTATTAACAGCAAGGAGAAAACAGGCTATGCTTCATCGCTTTGGGTAGAAATATCACCTGAATATCCTGCACTGCCTCACTCACAAGTTCTGTAGTCCACAAAACACTGGAATGCTATTTGGGCAAGTCCTTTGCAAGGATTCCAGTTTCCAATTACACATTCCTCATTTCTGTCTCATCATAATCACCTTAAAATTTAAAACCGTGCCATTGTACTCCAGCCCAGGAGACAGAGCGAGACTCTGTCTCAAAAAAAAAAAAAAAAAAAGTTGGAAGAGATCGCCTCTGGAGAGTGGGACTAGGGGTAGGACGGCACTGCTTTTCATTATAAACTCTTTTCTACATTATTTCTTTGATATGATTTAAAAATAAATATACAAGTAAGTAAGAATTCCAGATTGAAAAATAGAATGATCCATCCAAATGTCTGGTGCTTTTGAGCTGCTGCATTGTCTCTGCAGTTACCTCACGGCACCCCTCCCCCAAGAGCCAGTTGATGACGGACTGGGAGATCTGTGCCTGTCTCCCTCCGTGCCCTCCAGCCCCTCAGGATTCCTCTGCCTGCAACCTCTTCCTTCTCGATTTTCTTCCTTTCTTCCATGAATATCCAAAGGGTGTGGCGCAACACCAGTCATGATTTCTACAGTCCAGCTGGGGAAATATTACACAAGGCGTTTCCATGAGAGCATGTGATGTTGTTCTTTTAGAAGTCAATGTTATGATGACCCTTTCCAGGTTAAAATGTGTCACTAGTCCCTTTTGTATTCACAGGATAAAATGCAAAGCCCTTTGCATGATGTATAGGGCATCCTGGAATATGTCCTACCTACCCTTCTGGTGGGTACCCTAAATCCCCAGATGTGTCCCACAGCACCTTACACTCAAGCCTCGCTGATCTCTGGGCCAGGCCCTGAAGCACCTCCTTTCCTAGGCCCTCTTTCTCGGGCCTTGATATCTGCCACTCTCTCTTCCACAATTGCTCTCCCCATCAGCGTCTATCCCACTGTAGATTCTACCCAGTAGCACCTCCCCTGTGTCCTTCCCATCCCCTATGGCACACTGCAGACCTGCACTGTGAGGTCTGCCATCATATGTGTGGTCTATCTCTCCTTGAAGGACAAAGCCTGAACCCTCATCAGCTCTGCTTCTCTGGTCTTCTACCACAGTGACAAGGCACCTAGCAAGTGCTAATAAATACCTCTACCCCAGCACATACCAAGCAAGCTGTTCTGTGAGAACATTCTCTCGAACCTTAGACCACAATGTATATCTTCCTGTAGCTCCTTCCCGTGGGTCCTGATGGGTCTTCTAAGCCTAAAGGAGAAGTCTGTCCCCCCTCCCTGCTCCCTCCCACAGCCCTTCATAGATGTGGGTCTGTCTTGCTGGTCTTCATTTTGGGGCCTAACATCTCCAGTTTTCTTATTGGCCAGGGTCCGAAGAGTACAGACCACAAAGAAGTCTGTTCCCTCGTGGAGTGAAATGGCCCCAATTTTCCTTTTACTTCCCTACACACTGGACAGCAGAACCATTCCCCGATCTGGGTACAATTCTGGCCAGTGAAGATCAGCTCCAGGTACTGTTTGCAGAAGTTGTGGGAGCGGAAGAGGAGCAGTGTAGGTGATGTGAGCAGCTCCATGCACATGGGGCAGGGCAGTGCTGCACCCAGCGACTCCATGGCTCTCAGGCTGCCGACCTGGGAAACGCTCTGGGAGCCACATCATAACAGCGCCATGGCCAGGCCTGGCTTTCCTCCAGGGGATGAAGCAAGGAAGCTCCTTGAGTGCTTCAGGTGCCAAGACATGTCGGGGTGCCAAGACATGTCAGGGAGCCAGGCGGTCAAATCCAGCTGCAGCTCCTTTCTGTGTAGTTTGTGTACCAAGATGGCTTTTAGATTTTTTAGACCTTTTTTTTTTTTGAGATGTAGTGTCGCTCTTATTGCCCAGGCAGAAATGCAATGGGATGATCTCGACTCACTGTAATATCTGCCTCCCGGGTTCAAGAGATTCTCCTGCCTCTGCATCCCAAGTAGCTGGGATTACAGGCATATGCCACCATGCCTGGCTAATTTTGTATTTTTAGGAGAGATGG